CAAAGCTTTAACTCAAAGAAAATTCTGAATAATATAATATATTCAACTCGTGTCAAAATATGCAACCTATATCATTAAAACATTTCACAAATTAAATGAACAGACTTCTGAAAATCTATTGTCTATTATGAAGCCTCTAAATGACAAAGATGGAAGTCGGGACAAGACCCACAACATCCTGACAAAACATAAAAGTAAATGAAATTCTCCGAAAGCAATGAGTCTCGCAATAGTTAACTCGAACTCCATGTTGTATCAACAAAGCTCCTGTTGATGACCCTGAATACTTGTATATGAATCAACAAATGATGCAGATCAAATAACTTAGTTCATGGAATGTAAGAGCATGTAAGGGGAATTCTAAAGCATAAACATAAGCTTGAACTTGATAAAAAATAAACATACTTACCTCTTCTCAAAGTTACTCAATTCAAAGAATACTCAATGATACTCAAAACTACTCAAACTTACTCAAATCAGAAATACCCAAGGATAAGATACTCAACTCATAATACCCAAGGATAAAGCAATAGTAAAAAGATGCAATATATATGGAAAGTTGTAAACATATATATAAAAACTCAATGTATTGATGAATACAATAATACTCTGTGTGTATATAGAAAAAACAATATAATTCTGTGGGAGTTTCTCTAACCGACAACCATCACTATGAGCTATGTGATGATATAGAGTCTCGCCCACGCTGCCAGAACAATTCTATACTTTGCCAAGGTATAAAACCTCTCAACTAAGTGGATCCAATAGTCTGTGCTAAAAAACACTAAGGAATCATCTAAAAAGTATGACCCCTTTTACACATGTCAGCTACATGGTTTATGGGGACTTGAGTTATCTGAACTAGTCCCCATATCGGGGCTTAATACTACACCCAAAATATACTCAGCTCTTATGTTAAAAAACTTAACTCTTTCTGTGGTTTGAGATAATTACTCAAAATCATTCCATAAAAAGAGAAGTTACTCAACAGCTCAAAAACTCTTTTGGAAATCTCAGTTTCCTCTTCTTATAAATGTGAAAACATTTACACTTGAAAATACATAGTTCCCATATATCATTTTTAGGAAAATTAACTCAACTCTATTCTTTCTCAACTCAAGTGCTCAAAATAGGGTTCATGCCGAATGATGGACGTGAATGACTCAATTCAAGGTTTTCAATAACCATACAAATAAATCGATAATCAAAACTCAACAACTTAGAACAGAAGAACATCAATGATACTACTCACTTCAAGAATTCTCAATTCATAGGTTTCATGCAAAATTATGGGCAAGAACAACTCAACTCAAGTACCTAATGGGTAACATGTAGTACTCTCGTGATTAGGAATATAATCTCAAAAGGGTTATGAACTTAATACTCATGACTTAGAACTTGAAGATACTACTCCTCTCAAAGATACTTAATTAATGGAAATCATGTAGAATTTATGTGTAACACCCCTCAAAATGAAGTAGGATAAATTAGATCCTCACATGGGTCCTAAAATAATGAAGAATAGCCTTTTTAGTCAGTTTTACAAAGTTTGGAAGTCAAACGTCAAAGGACAACCAAGACGTTCGGAAACTACACTTTTACGTGTTGGTGTGTTCTAATATGTTGTTCATGTTTTTATATGTTGTATGGAGTCTAAAATCAGTGGAGGTGACCCTAGTGTCTTAATAAATGTTTTTTGGGTCAAAACGTTCGGGTACGACTCCCCAGGACCACCCTAGGGGTCCCCGAGGAGGACCCCAACCCTTGGTCAAGCAAGCTGCCAAGGCTGCTTGAAGTTGTTCTTGGAGGCAGTGGCTCCGCGTCGCGAACTTGTTTCCCGATGAAATATGCGAAAATAAAACTCAAGTGGACTTGTTTAAAAAGGTCCAACTAAGTGAGGGGTACTTTGGGTACTTTGGGTTCCTATTATTTTAAGTATTTTAAAGGTATTAAAACATTTAAGAGGTGTTTTTGAATCCATTCTTTCAAAATCAAAACCCCAAAGTTCTTTCTCTCTCTAAAGTTCTCTCAAGTTCAAGGAAGAAGAAGGTGGAGAGCTAGGGCTTCAATTGAGGGTTCCCTTCCACCAAATTTCATTGAGATTTCATCAATTGAGGTATGGTGGCTTTTCATCTAGGATTCATCTTCATCCTAGAGTCAATTTCAAAGGATTTTACCATGTTTTCAAAAAGTGACTAAAAGCTTGTTTTTGAATTCTATCAAGAGTTCTTGCATGAAAATGATTTGAAACGTTTGGGTATGAATTAGTTGATGTTTGTTTGTGGTTGTTGAATGAAATACTCCATCAACCCTTGTCTTCTACAAAGCCCTAAAATTTGCTATGAAGTGGGTCTATTTCTATAAATTCAAAGTTGATGGAATTATGTGTAAAGTGAATGGTATTGATATCTCTTGTGTTGCTTAATGTTTATATATGATTAATTGTTGATAATGGATGAATTAAGGGTGGTAAGCCTTATGGGTGAAGTATTGGTAATTTTGGCTATGTCTTTGGATAAGGGTAAGAAGGCTTGAACTCTCTTTATTGAATTGAATGTTGTTGGTAAGTTGGATACACCTTTGGTGGAATTGTTATATCTTATTCTTGTGTGGTATTATTGTGAATTGTAGCCATGAAGGCATTGGTGAAGTTGTTGTATAATGTGGGAATATTGCATTATTGTGAATTGAAGCCACAAAGGGCATTATATGAGTGTTATTACATTGTTGTATTATTATACACATATGAGGCTATATGTAAAGTCCTATATGAAGCTATATGTAAAGTTTATGTGAAGCTATAATGTTAAGATGTTCTAATGGTATTAATGTGGTATTGTATAAAGTGTTATTATGATAATGTGAAAGCATGTTTCTCTTGAAATGGTGATATGTTGTGATGATGGACTATGATGAGTCTCTATAAGATGATGTTGTAGCTCATATGCTAGACTTGAGTATCTTGTCTTGTGTCATGAAAGTTTGATTATGTATAGGAGTATATGAATGTTTGGTTGGGCTATGACTTAGTAATGGAGCTCTTCTTATAAATGCTAAAAAAGGAATTCTAGGCCAAGACTTGAATTGGTAACACTTAAACATTGTGCCTTTCATGAGTCTAGCTTTCCTAAGGAAATATATAACCTTGAAGGATGGGCCTTAGGGTGATGTTCCCTTCATGAGTGAAATGATAGACTTAGAGATGGATGAAGCTGGAACGGCATGAGAAACCTTATCTAAGAAAGTCAAATGAGCTATCCTTCTGAACCGAGATTGGCTATGACTAAAAAATGGGGCCTTTCTTGGGAAGAGGTACTATGAGTTGGTTGAACTAGAAAAGGAACCCTCTCTAGTACATATGTGATTGAATAGTCTATTGAAACCAAGGCTAAGCACCGAGTGGATGTGGTTAGGATGGTGGCCTAGTTGAGCATGAGATTAGGCACAATGAACATCCTTGGACATCTCTTAAACCTGTGCCAACATGGTTTGCTTTTAGTTCTACCCTTGGTAAGTAGAACAACCTCCATGGAGTAGGATAGACTCTGAATTCCATACCTTGCTAGTATGGTCTATGTCGGTTAACGCCTATTTCCATCATATGGGATGTGCACTCTAATATTGGATATGTTATACAACGTGTAGATAGTAGTATGGGATGCTATCTACACATGGCACGAGTAGGCTTAGAAGATACTAAAGTGAGTTCCCTAAGCCTTAGGGTTATTATGTTATTGTCCCATATATGCTTGTGTGTCTCCTAAATGGTTTTATAAAGAATGTTGACTTAGTATGTTATAATGTAATGATAAAACCCTTGTCTATGGTAACTCTTAGGAACAATTAAGTGTATATGAAGAGGTTGTATGGGCGGTCACTTCATTATTCACTTAAGTGTGGCTTAGGGTGACGTCACATTGAGGCTTAAATAGTAATGAAGGACTTACTTTGTTATCTTTTTTAAGTATTGTACACTTGTGTTAATTGAGTTGTAAATGATGTGAATATGGACTTATTTGTGAATGGTGACTTGAAATGTGGGTTTATGCTTGTGGTTGTAAAGGTGTGTTAAAGAAGGTCTTAAAAGCATACATTCATTGTAAATGTTCGTTGTGCATATTTTCTTGCATGGTCATCATACTTAGTACTTATTGTACTAATTCCATATTTCTCTATTGTTACAAGTGTAGGTGGTGGAAAGTGAACAGATCTTTTGAGGAAGCTTGGGATATTGACTCTTCCCAAGAAGCTTGGTATGTCCTCATTTATTTGAGGACATAGTTGTTACCTTTCTAGTATTTCCACTTAGACATTGTATAAGACTTATATTTTGTTGTAAAGGGCCGTGCCTCTAAGATGTTCTATTCTTGTCTAAGATGGTACATGAGACTTAGAAATTCTACCTCGTTACATTTGAAAGATTTTATGAGTATTATGAATTTGTTTTAAAAAGTGTTTAAATTCCTTATGGTTTTTATTACCGAATGCGATGAATGAATGCTAAGAGGCTTGTGTTAGACCACCGAGAGGTTGAGTACGCATATTACGACTTGGGGTGCTCTCGGGTTGTTACAAACTTGTATCAGAGCATAAGGTTTTGGAAATTGTCCTTTAGGATTCAAAGTCTCATATGCCAAGTCTAGTAGAGTCTTGTTCATCGGTGTGAGTCGCGACACATCAATGAGTGAGAGGCTATAGGATGGTTAAAGTTTCACTTCTTTAATTAATCTTGATGTCGTGCCTTAGAGTTTTGTCTATGTGTATCTTTCCTAATCCGTCTCTTCTGTTTATAGGATATGAATACGAGGGCTAATCCTAGAAGAGCGGAAGAGGAGAATGTGGATGCGGGAGTTCCTCCCCAAGGTCTTCAAGGTTACAAAGTCCCCATAGGCAATCAAGATAATGAGGTTCCAGTGGTTCCCCCGGCCATGGCTAATGAAGAAATTAGGGCGACTTTCCTAACTCTAGCTCAAGCCATGACGGCTCAAGCAAATAGAGATATGGGGCCTAGGGTGAATGCTAATAAGAGTACGGCCGCCTCAAGGTTGAGAGACTTCGTGAGAATGAATCCTCCTATATTTTTAGGCTCTAGAATTGCAGAAGATCCCCAAGGATTCTTGGATGAGATTTACAAAATTGTGAATGCTATGGGAGTATCTTCTAGAGAGAAGGCAGAATTGGCTTCATACCAATTGAAGGAGGTGGCCCAAATTTGGTACACTCAATGGAAGGCAAATAGGCCGGAGGGAGCGGGTCCTATAGAATGAGAGGAGTTTTAGGAAGCATTCTTGGGTAAGTACTTTCCCCTACAGAATAGGGAGTGCAAAATTGAGGAGTTCATTAATCTTAGGCAAGGTATATGAGTGTGGAGGAGTATGCTTTGAAGTTCTCTATGTTGTCTAGGTATGCTCTATCTTTGGTGTCTAACTCTAGACAACAGATGAGTAGGTTTGTTACCGGTGTATCCGACTTGGTGAAAGAAGAGTGTCGTACGACAATGCTCCATGGTTACATGAACATCTCTAGGCTTATTGTATATGCTCAATCTATTGAGGAGTCCAAGATGACTAGGGTGAGGGAATATTTGAAAAGGGGTAGGTATGAGGATCAATGACAACCTAGGTTTAAGAAGAGGGCTCCAAATCAAGATTTATCAAGTGCTCCTAAGGTTAACCATGAAGGAGGTGGTGGTTCTCAATTTGCTAAGCCTACTTGTTCCACTTGTGGAAAGAAGCATTTTGGGAAGTGTCTATCCAGCACTAGTGGTTGCTATGGTTGTTGGAAAAATGATCACAAGGTGAGAAATTGTCCTAATATTGTTGCTAAAGGAAGGAATGCTAGGCAAGCTCCTTATAGTGGTCCTAGTGTTGATGGTCAAGCAAGGAATCGTTTCTATGCTATCCAAGCTAACAAGGAGGCAAATCCGGATGGAGGTGCCGGTAAGTCATAATTTCTAGTTTTGTGTTGGAATCCTTTTCTGTTTGTTTAGATGGGTTTTTCCTAAGTGGGGGATGCTATGTTGAATGATGAGTTGAGGTGAGTTTAGATATTCTTTTCTCCTTCTTCTATTCGTAATCGAGTTTGAGTTATAGAAAATTCCATCCTCATCTTCCTCCTCGTTTATAACCTTACATGGAATTATCACACCATCACTATCACGATAAGAATATCAAACTCCTATTTCTAACATCACTCCATTACTAAAAGGACCTCCGAAAGGATATCTCCCATAATCTTTGGAACTCATTATTATGTTACTATCAAACACTTGACTTGATTCTCATCTCGTCATCTCCCTCATAGGTCTAAAGCTAAAACTTGAATGCTATGGACCTATTCCAAATTGACAACTTAATTATGATATCTAGGCATACATCGAAAATTATAACTTAGTTAGAACCTCATCTAGTAACATACCATCTCAGCACACCTTTTAATGTTGTTATTACTCTTGTGACATAACCACACTTCACTTCCCTTATCTAAACGTTAAGGTCTCTCAGTTGTATCACTCATATTTATTGCAACTTATCACCTCACTTCCTCACCTACTCTATGTCAAGTCTTTTATATCAAACAACTAGACTAACATCATCGCCCCCATATTGTCATTCTTTTTATCATGAAACTCTTCTCAAATTCAAGCTTAATGTTCATTAGTAAACCCAAATATCAACACGATTGCTCGCCTACTATACTATACCTCATTACTTGATCAGTTCTATAACCTGATGAACATCATGACCCTCTTAAACAAATAATAAACATAGCTTAGATCTATAACTTTATGAATACTTTTGCTCTTCTATTCAACACTTACACTTGGTCATTACCTAGATAATCACACTTCACCACACACTCCTTTCTAGCTAAAACACACTCTACCTCCTATGATGGACTCTTCACAACTCACCACTTCTTAGTCTACCCATAAGGGAAAATGCCTCATTAATAACTTACTAGGTGCATCAGTATAGTAACATAGCTTGTCGAAACACCATCTCTCGTACTTAAATTACTAAACCTCTGCATACTTTCCTCTAACTCTGGGCTCTTTTACTACTACTGCTCATGATCTCGTAACTCCAGCTACCTTTTTGGGTGAATATATTACCCAAGCTCTAAACATACCATCCTCTTAAAGGTCTGGCCAAATAAGGTTTAGGGAAGAGTGTCCAACTCGGTTTTAGCTCAAACGCATTATTCATACGAACATGAGTGCATTCCTCTTGAACTCAACACTTAACTTACTTTTGGGCTTCCCTCTAGCCCCTCTGGAGTCTCATAACTTGCTTAAGAATAACTCATCCAGAAGGATCTTCGACTTTGTTTTTCAACCACCTTTAGTATGAGGGGTAGTCGAATGAATCTGAGAAACGCACGAGTATGAATAAATCTCTAGGACAAAGCTCTGTTGCACGATTACGATTATGAAAAAAGGGAAACTTTCCTAAAATGTATGTAGTCCCTCATTTATAGAAGTGGGTCCTTCACAACCATAAATAAGATCCTACTTGACACGGCTTCATAAACAGTCTAGGAAACTTGAACGCTATGCTCTGATCCCATGTCTACACCCTAGACTTGGCCAGCACTCGAGAAACATTGTTGGTCCCCAAGAGAACCCTCATCTTGGCTGACTACAAGTAGAAGACTAACTCAAGCATACAAAAGCTTAAAAACTAAAAATTCAAGAAACTTAAATACAAATCTTTAACTCAAAGAAAACTCTGAATAATATAATATATTCAACTCACCCCAAAATAGGCAACTTAAGTCTTTAAAACATTTAACAAAATAAATGAACATACTTCTCAAACTCTACTGTCTATCTATGAATCCTCTAAATAACAAAGATGGAAGTCGGACAAGACCCGCAACATCCTGGCAAAACTGAAAAGTTAATGAAATCCTCCGGAAGTAAGGAGGCTCACCATAGCTTACTAGAACTCTATGTGGTTTCAACACATATTGATGCCCCTGAATACATGTATTTGCATCATGAAATGATGTAGGACAAATGGCTTATTACGTGGAATGTACGAGAATGTAAGGGGAATTCTGAAGCATAAACATAAGTTTGAACTTGATAAAAAGGAAACATACTTACCTCTTCTCAAACTTACTCAACTCAAGGAATACTCAAGGATACTCAAAACTACTCAAAACTTACTCAACTCAGAAGTACTTAAGGATAAGATACTCATCTCGAAATATCAACTCGTGATACTCAAGGATAAAGAAATAGTACAAGATGCAATATATATATGGAAAGTTGTAAAACTGTAAATAGCAACTCAATGTATTGATGAATACAATAATACTCAGTGTGTATATAAACATACAATATAAATATGTGGGAGTTTCTCTAACTAACAACCATCACTGTGAGTTATATGATGATACAACGATTCGCCCACGCTGCCAGAACTGTCCTATACTTTGCCTAGGTTTATGACCTCTCAACTAAGTTGATCCACTAATTCATGCTAAAAAACACTAAGTAATCATCTTAAAAGTATGACCTTTTCTACCCACATCGGCTACATGGTTTATGGAGACTTGAGTTATCTGAACTCGTCCGCAAATTGGTGCTCAATACTACTACCAAAATATACGTAGCTTATATGTTTAAAAACATAACTCTTTATGTGGTTTGATATAATTACTGAAAATCTTTCTCTAAAAAGAGATGTTACTCAACTGCTCAAAAACTCTTTTGGAAATCTCAGTTTCCTAGTCTTTTAAATGTGAAAACAGTTACTCCTGGGAACACTTAGTTTGCATATATCATTTTTTGGAAAATGAACTCGACTCTACTCTTTCTCAACTCAAGTGCTCAAGTCTTAAAACAAGTTTAGAAAAAGTTGTAAAAGACTTCTAAAAATAGGGTTCATGCCAAATGATGGACGCAAACGACTCAATTTAATGTTTTCAATAACCATACAAACAACTCGATACTCGGAACACAACAACTTAGAACTCAAGAACTTCAATGATACTACTAATTTCAAGAATGCTCAACTCATAAGGTTAATACGGAATTATGGGCATGAACAACTCGAATCAAGGACTTTATGGGTGACATGTATTAGTCTCGTGATTAGGAATATAATCTTAAAAGGGTTATGAACTCAATACTCATGACATAGAACTTGAAGATACTAGTCCTCTCAAAGATACTCAATTTATAGAGTTCATGCAGAGTTTATGAGCATGAACGACTCAACTCGAGGGTCTACTTTACAACGTGGAACTCATGTATACAACACTTCCCATTCTCATACTTACTTTCTCAAAACATATTTCAAATCGATAGTTGATATCAAGGGATTCACAATTGAACTCAAAAGCTTTCTTGAACTCTACTTTTAACTCTCTCTTGAATGTGAATTATGAATTCAAAAGTTATGGTTCATGATATGAAGGATCTCATGATGATAAAGTAGACTCATGAATACATTCTCCTCAAGAACACTCTTAGATACTTTCACAAAATGTTCGAAACAACTCTCAAAACTTGACTCTCAACTATACCCTAAAATTTACTTATGAATTCAACGTTATGATTTGTGATAGGAAAGATCTCGAGATTCTTAGGAGTGATTTTAGATAGTTAAACGTGAGAAACAATCAAGAAATCATTGTCTACAAGCAAGTATGCGACGTGGAGTTGCATTTATTTGATCACGAAATAAATTTTGAGGCAGATGCGTCAGTGACCTCTCTACGACATGGAGAAAAATTATGTGAAATGGGGACGCAGTTCCGCGACACAAATTGGGTTGCTAGATTCGCCCAACTTTTTTCTTCTTCATTTTCTAACCCCAATTTGCCTAAATTATATTTCTTTGCTCAACTTCCCTCTACATTCAGATAACTAGAACATACACATTAGGATTTAACTCAAACAACTCTATTAATTGACACAATAATCTCAAGAACTCCTCAACCTCAGCCCCATTCAAGAACGAAAGAAAATTCAAGAACACCTATCAAGAACAACAAACTTTCAACTTTCTAGACGGAATTTAACATTGAAATTAACATGATTGGAGTGTGAGTGAATTAACCTAACACTATTGAATCTTACATACCTGAAAGAACCATCTTGTTGAAGAACTTGAAGGAAAATCTTGGAAGAAGAACCCTAGTTTTAAAGTTTCTTTAATTGCTTGAGCGTAGAATTTTTGAAGTGGATAAGAGGGTTTGATTTATGAAAATACTTGTTTTCGACACGTTAGGGGCAATTTAGATTACCTCTCAAGGGTTTTTAGGACTAAAAATACCCTTAATGAAATAATTAAAAAAAGCTGGGATTTGGAATAATTTTTTTAGCAGGCAGTGAGGTCCGTATTTACTCCGCGACGCGCAACCATCGCATAGCTTCTGCCAAGTTTTTCGTGTGGCTATTATATCAATCATAACCTTTTACTTATTGTTTGAAATTTAGGAGACTCAGTGGCATTGGAAAGAGGACTCGAAGACATTTAAATATCCATGTTATTGCCCACCTTAATCATCTTGTACTAGGCGTTATGGTTGTTTGAAGTTGACCCAAAATATAAAAGAACTAGGAATGATTTGAATGCCTAACTCTTTGCTTATTCTTGGAACTGAATGTTCTACATCTATATGATGTTTTTAATTCATTGGACAATTCTGGCTCACTACAAAGAATGATTCGAGTTATAGCTCAAAAAAATTCCTCAGCTGTTACAGGTCGTCACTGACCCACCACTAGCATTTGCAGGAACTCAAACCTGCTGGTTATCTTGTTAGTCACACACTGAGGCAAAAGTTGAATGGCGTTTTGAAACTCAGCATTAGAAACTTCCTAATATGGGGCTGGAGACACTACATTAGCATTGCATGCATTCACATTCCTTCCATAAGCTCTACAAGGACGCAGGATCTGAAGCGCATAACGAAGGATTAGCACGAGGAATT